GACTACTTCCGGCCGACGTCGGGCAACTCGCTCTGCGACATGCTTGCGAGCTCCACCAAGCACGAATTCTCTCCCGACGAGGTGGCGTGGTACACGCCGACGTACCTTGGCAGCAACGCTATGGGAGGCTCCGCGAGAGCCTGGCCTAGGGACAACGTTCCTGGAGACGAGCGGGCTTACCTGCCGTTCTGGGGTGGTGCTGGGGCTCGTTCGGGCTGCTGCCACAGCTCGCTGACATCAGGCGCTGCGTGGGGCCAGACGTTCGACCTCTACGTCATCACGGCTCCGCCGCCGCCCTCGCCGCCCTCGCCGCCGCCCTCGCCGCCGCCCTCGCCGTCCGCCGCCCCTCGTACCAGCTGCTCGACCTCCGCGCCGCCACCACGTACCAGGACTCGAGCTTGTTCGACAAGCAGGCGCCCGTGAGCGACCTGTCATACGCCGACAGCACGACGGGACGGCCGTGGGCCGAGTGCGGCCAATACACAAGCCAATGGTGGGGCGTCGACCTCGGGAGCGAGGTGTATGTGCGCTACGTGCGGCTGCAGAACCGCAACGACTGCTGCGCGGAGCGGCTGACGGACGTCGACATCTATCTCGGCACGACGGCAGAGACGTACACGGGCAACGCGCTGGTGAAGTCAGACGTGAGCGTGTTGTCGAACGTGATGTTGGAGGTGGAGATCAACGCGTTGGGGCGCTACATCTACCTCAACCGGCCGTCTGCGGCGGGGCTGACGGTGTGCAAGTTCTACGTCTTCGCAGGAAATCGCAATGGTCCACCTCCTTCCGCGTCGCCGTCGCCACCGCCTCCCTCCGCGTCGCCGTCCCCGCCGCCTCCGTCGGCCTCGCCGCCGCCGCCGCCGCCATCCGCGTCGCCGTCGCCGCCGGCTCCGTCCGCCTCACCATCTCCGCCGCCGCCCTCAGCATCGCCGTCGCCCCCGCCGCCCCCAGCATCGCCGTCACCCCCGCCGGCATCCGTGTCGCCGTCGCCGCCGCCTCCCTCGGCATCGCCCTCGCCCCCGCCGCCGTCCGCCTCACCATCGCCACCGCCTCCGTCCGCCTCGCCCTCGCCGCCGCCGCCTTCCGCCTCGCCGTCGCCGCCGCCTCCGTCCGCGTCGCCCTCGCCGCCGCCTCCCTCCGCCTCTCCCTCCCCGCCACCTCCTTCCGCGTCGCCGTCGCCACCGCCTCCCTCCGCCTCTCCCTCCCCGCCGCCGTCCGCCTCGCCGTCGCCGCCGCCGCCTCTGCCGCCGCCTCCCTCCGCCCTGCCTGAGCCGCCGCCGTCCGCCTCGCCGTCGCCGCCGACGCCGTCCGCCTCGCCGTCGCCGCCGCCGCCTGACGTGCAGCTGCTCGACCTCCGCGCCGCCACCACGTACCAGGACTCGAGCTTGTTCGACAAGCAGGCGCCCGTGAGCGACCTGTCATACGCCGACAGCACGACTGGACGGCCGTGGGCCGAGTGCGGCCAATACACAAGCCAGTGGTGGGGCGTCGACCTCCGGAGCGAGGTGTATGTGCGCTACGTGCGGCTGCAGAACCGCAACGACTGCTGCGCGGAGCGGCTGACGGACGTCGACATCTATCTCGGCTCGACGGCGGAGACGTACACGGGCAACGCGCTG